ACCAGCTAGCCTCAAATTCTACCCCTACTCCTAGTCACCCATGAAGCATTTACTAAATGCCTCAGTGTGACGGGTTTGCACAAGATAGCCAAATCAAACTGTCACCTTCCGGAAGGATATAATGCCTAAGATTTCTCACAGTTTTAAGTACGATAAAATATTTTAAGGCTTTAAAAGTTTAGCAGAGAAGATAAAGTATCAGCCCTCTCAATTTTTCAAGAGGCTCAAATATTGCAAGGAGTCACTCACGTGGGGTCCTCCTACTCAGTAAGTCCAGAGCTGGGGTAGAACTGCATGCTCAGGAGTCCTTCCCAGGACCCCCTCCTGCTGCTGCCTGGTCTTCCGGCAGACGAGGAGCTGGCAGCTAGTAACAGAGCCCAGAGATGATTTCCTTCTCTGCCCCAAATGGGAAATAAGTAAATAAATGCCATGCCCTCACTTGCTTCCTAACTGATTTTCATATTAAATCACTGTCGTTATTACATCTTCTATTTATCCTTCCACTTGCTGCCCTGACAGCAGCCCGAGTAACGTTTTTTCAATGGAAATCCAATATGTCATCCAATGGTTCAAAACCTTCCTTGGCGAGAATATCAGAAAGGCTGCTCCAATTTCTAGGCCACATAACTAGGCCAATTACCAGTTTTTAAATTTACACTATTTATAGCTCTCATTTCCTATCTTCCTGGTTTTCTCCATTCTCTCCTTTTGCGTCCCTGTCAGTCCCTCTGATGATCAGTTCTTAGCTCTCCCCCATAGGTTTCAAATACTTTCCAGAACAAGGTGGTGTGAAAACAAGCCCCTTCACTTAGGTCCAGTGACGTCCCCCGGTGGTGTGTTCCATTGGCCAGCCGTTTGCCATGAACACACTCCCCAGGCATTTATAAACTCTCTGAACCCACAACTCTCAGGGGCTGAGAAGGCCCCTGTCCCAGAGGCTCTGCATGTGAACCTCTGGGCCTTTCGAGTTCGCCTGCACAAGCCTCAGCTTTCCCTCCGAACACACAGGAAAACATAGTCAACCAGTTTGTTTAAAGCAGAGGAATGAGATGACAAGTCCATGTTGCTTCATCTACAAATTGGACAAAGAAATACAAAACTCCTTCTTCAACCATGAGTTTCCTCGGTCAAAATTCTAGTATAGACGATAAAGATAAAGGCTTTTCTGTTATACCTTTTTTATATAACCATGAGGATCTTGGCTCCCTTTGCTGTGTTGGGGTTAATTAGAAAAAGAGCACAGGTGGCTGGAAATAGAAAAGGAAGTGAAGAACAGATCAGATGTTTTATGGGAGTTTCTTTCAGTGATATTTCAGAAGGGAAAAGAAACTGAAGGAAAATAAACCCAGACTTTAGAAGTGTCTGTTACAGCTATGCAACAGGAGGGTAATTTCACCTGTCTCAACCTGTGTCTTAGAGCTTTGGCTGCCAGCATCAAAACTCCAAGTCAGAGCACAGCAAGTGCACTGTGCATTTGCTCTAAGAGTCAGATATGGAAAAAGAAATAAGGGAGGGAAGGAGAGATGGAGGCAGGGAGGAAAAGAGAAACAGTATCTCTGAGAATACAAATTAAAATCAAATTGCATGCATCTAATTAACAGGGTAATCGTGCCTTTAAAAGTTTCTAGCAAGCAAGCTATAATAAATATAAATTCATTATACAAGACACATTATAAGCAGTTTAAGATGCAAAAGTTTACATTGATATACTCTTTAGAGTGACAGGTGGGTCTCATCAGGATTCACAGCAATCTAGGCAACCCCCTGCTCTGAGTGCTCTCTCTGCCCTTGTCCTGGTGGGCGGGGCCTGCCAAAGAAGACATATGATACATGGAGTCATTCAAATGTTTATTGAGCATCAACTATGTCCAGGCAATGTGCTAGGCATTAGGGGTACTGAGATAATTCACATCTCCTGGTCTTCACGGCGTTCACAGAAGGCACAGGATATAATATGGTTCTATGAGCCTCTTAACCCCCTAGCCTACTTTAATCATCTTTCAAATCACAATAGTAAATCCTTCCAAGGTATATTACAGGATAAATATAAGGATAAAAATTTATAAGAAATATTCAAATGCTATGAAGAGTTGAATCTGATATATACATATTTATATAATTCCATGAGTTCAAAATTCTCATTTCACACACATTTCTCTTTAGAAAGACCTGACATCAGCACTATTAACTTCTAGGGTGTAAAGAGGGAAGGGCTCGTCTGTCACAGCACAGGTGGTAGAGAGCAGAGAACAAGGGAAAAAGCAATAAAGAGGATGATCTGTTACAGGAAAGGTGGGATCTTCGTGACAGAGCTCAGGCAGGTCATTGAGCATCTGGTTGGTTTGTGGTTCTCAACATCTGGCATCATAAGAACCACCGAGGATCCAGAGTGACAATGAAGACTGCATACGAAGCGGCTCTGGAATGTACATATTTAGCTGTGACCGCAGATAATTCTGATGCATGTTTCAGATGGGCCGCCCTTTTATTTAAAACTCACCTTCAGTCTATACCCACAGAGCATGAGGAAAGTCAGTGACTAAGTGACCATTTCACAGTTTATTTAATTAATGGGACAATCAAGCAAATGATTCAAGCCACAAAGTGCAAGGTGCACCTCCTCCATTTACTGAATTAGCTAATTGCCAAATCTGCACTGTACTCTGGAAAACACTAATCAGCCATTAATCTTCAGCAAGGTTTTAACCATTCACTTTAAATTCTAGCTGTTACTTCATCTACCCGCTCTCCCGGTCGCAAACCTGGGTTATGGAGACTAGTATCATTTCAAGGTCTTCATCTTTCATTATATAGTTAAATCTGTCGAAGGACTCAGGTTTGTGGACAATATAAGAAACAACCTTTTGTTGAGGGGAAATGGAAATGAGAAGTTCCTACCTGTGGAAAAATTTCCTCTCTTATAAATGCTTTTAATTCTCTGTATGTTAAAGTCGTGCTGTCTTCTTGGAAGCCTTCAAGCTATTTTTTTTCAATACTTGATTGCAGTTAATAGGTGTGAATTCCAGGAAGTAAGAAAATTAGAAGATACACTTCTAAATCTCATGAGGCATTAACAGGTAGAACATTTGCAATGATGAAAAAGAAATGTTGGCAGTTAATGTTATCAGTATGTGTGTTCAGAAGACTGAACAATATGATCCATCTGGTATACTTATGCGAGTCACATAATGTACTAGGCAGTTTATTTTTAAAATTCAATAATACAACAATTATCCCTTTTTAGAAAACTGGGGGGGGGGCCTGCAATTCAATCATCACACATTTGAAAATACATCATAGGCAAATATTGTGCCTGTATTTGGAAAATATTCTTTGTGTGCAGAAAATCTAGAGCAAGGTGAAAAAAAAGGGACAGTGAAAATAAAACCCAGCTCATATTTGAATTTAAAATGCACATGAAAATAATTTGATATAAAGTCATGTAACCCCAGGGGAAGCAATAAATTAATTCATAGCAAGATGATAAAGAATGAAAAATATGGTCTATTGTTCCCACTATTATTACAAAGTTCATTTGCTTTAACAGACTAGAATTCAGTGAAGTAGAGGAATAAGCAATACACTGCTTCTGATTTGAGGTAGGGTTAACATAATTTAGAGCCACCAGTGGATTGCAGACATATGACAATTTTGTATTTATTTTTTCAAATGAATTTTTTATTAACGGAATAAAATACCTCAGGGAAAAGCAAGTAAGAAGTGTGTATCTAACTTCAACTTTATTATCTCCAATCCAATAAACTCAACTGCTTCACACAGAGAGAAGAAGGTCAAGGTCATATAATATGATGAGCCAGAAGGCCCCATTCCTGCCAGGAACACAGATACATCTCTCAGCCATGTAAGCTTTCTTCAATGTATCCCAAATGGCCATAGAGAAAGGGGTGTTTGAAGGTAAGTAGTATAACAAAACTTCACCACATTTGAAAACATTTACAGCACCTGCCTTCCAAGTAATACATAGTACATTAGTCTCATCCTTTGTACAAAGGACAGCTCATAACATTTATATCACCCATGTATAACATACAACTTGGTACAATATGCATTCCCAGTGGTGATGGGTAAGATAAATTGCTACATCACTGGTCTTTTGGATAGATATTAAAGAGTTGGAGTAAAAATCACTAATTTTTATTCTATTATGTCTAAAGATAACAAAATTTTTTAGTCAATTTTCACCTTTCTAGCCCGTTCATTGAATCATTTTCAATTCACATTTTCATTTCTGGTTGTATACAACTGGTGTCTCTCTTGTTTACTCCAATCTGCCAGCCAGATAGGCTGTAGAGCATGAAAACTAAGAGAAAATATGAGTCAGTACAAGTGCCCATTAGAAAAGAAAGATGAACCCATCAAAACATTCTATTGAAATGTTTCACCCTGTGTGTTCTGCTTATCAAGGGAGATGTCATCCGAGGCTTTAACTGGTGCCTGTAAAGGCAGATAAAATGGGCCATCAGCTGCTGGTTTTATCTCACACTCAGCTCACAACAGGAGATACCAAGGCCTGCTTGGCAGATACCTGTCGACACTCCGAGGGTGGTAGGAAATGATGAGAAAGGAAGGTGCAAAAAATAACAGCAGCCAGGACAAAGCACTTCACTTCATGAGCTCTGTCTCCTCTCTGCAATTGTAATGAACTTAAACCCCTAAAGTCAGTATGAGAATAACAACACTCTGGGCTCACACCCAGTTTTCAAAGCAAGCAGAAATGAGACTTTTTGAAGACACTTGGAATGCTAAGTGTTCTGATCTGTGCACTTGTACTACCTTCATGCTGTCCCTAAATTGGGTAAAAGGGAGCTCTACCTACACTAAGTGGAACCCTGCAAAGATAAGAATAGATGCAAACTGGCCTCTCTACGTGAGCGAGGTGTAACACATGAAGAACAGACATAGGCCTCATGTCTCACCACTCCTCTCTCCAAGACCAGCACTGCCAGCCCTTCCTGTGACTTGTGAGGTTGGCTACCAACCCTCAGGAACCTTCACCACACAGTGCTCCAAGCGGCCTTTGCCAGTCATCCTCATAGAAAGCATTTTGCGGTTCCCAGATGGCAGACCCACACTGGGCTTGGGTAAAGGTCTGGACTTGCAGCCAGCTTCACCCTAACCTACTAAGTAACTTTGAAAAATCACTTGACCTGTCTGGCTTCAAGCTTCCTTTTCTAAAAAGAAAAATTCCTCTAATATTCAATGTTCTATAAAGTGCTTATCATTATTATGATAAGCTATTATTTTCATAGCTTTTAAACTATCTGATTTTAGCAAATTAGCTAAAATATAGACAATACCCAGAAAGATGATAGGCATCTACCAGTGAGAAGGTTCCCTGAACTAAATATAAATTACCTAAGTGTCATGTGTTCACCTATGTGTAAACGCCCCTCTAATTCATTATTGTAGTACTGATTATTGGTAGGACTTAAAATGCTCACATCTTATAGCAATACATTTGGATCCCCTGTTCAGTGCTGCTTCATGGAACAAGGCACCATTTTGTGTCCCAAAATCTGATTCTCAGGACCAGCACAATATTTCTACATATTTCATCAAATAAGAACCATATTCAAACCACATGCCAAGACAAACACACACAAAAAGACAAACACTGTTGATAAAAATTAATGCCAGATAAACTGTTTAACATGGATAGAAAGAGGGTGAGAACCTGATTACATTCTTGGCTCCTATTTCATCAATTCTCAGAATGACATTTGAAATTGTTTTCTCACAAGTTGACAGAGCACAACTTAAGGTTGCAAGAATTAATCACAGTAGGCATCTTGCGTAATTCTAAACCAGAGTTCACAAAAACATGTGAGCATCTGTTTCCTTTGAATATGCTTCTACTCCTAAAGACACATCTTCCATAATGTCTTTCACCATCTGCAAAACACTGCATATGATTGGCTTGGGGGACAGGGACTAGCAATTGGCTCTGCTAACATCCATAGATGTGCTAATTATTAAAAATGCCCCCCTTGGCTATCATATTTAAAAAGGAAACGAATTAAATGATACAGAAAGAACATTACATATGATTTTTATTCCTGCAGAGTAAAATGTTTTTAAAATTATATAACAACTAAGGCAGTGTGACCCTAGCACAGAAAAACAGACAGATGGACAAATGGAACAGGTTAGAAAGGCTGGTACCTCGCATTTGATGAAGATGATAGTTCAAATGATAGTTCAAAAGGTACTGAGAAAATTAGATGTCTTTTAAAATTTGTTAATCTCTAACTCCAGATGGAGAAAAAAATGGTGAATGTTTTTCAAAATAAAGAACATGCACTAGATACACTAAAATAAATGTATATGGCTGGGGAGAAAAGTGGCACTGAGGCTGAAGGATGAAAGAACAAAATTAACAAAATAACAAACAGGGCTCTGCATGGACCAGTGATGATAGCGGGCCATGAACTGAGAAATGTTATTAGTTAAATTCAGCACATTTGAGTCCAAAAAGAAAGAAAAAAAGAAGAAAGGGAGGAAAAGAGAATGAAAAATATATAGTGACTGTATATCTGGTCTTGGGGAGAAAAAGTCCATCAAATAGCACCAATTATCACAAAAGTCCACAAAGAAGATGATAAAAATTTATTACACTACAATAAAATCTTCAGTACATCAAGTAAAACACAAATAATTTTTAAAAGGCAATCAACTAGGAAAAATATTTGTTATATATTTGAAAAAGGGTTATCTTAATATGTAGATATGTCTTTCAAATTGATAATAACCCCCAATATAAACATGACTTCATTATAATGAACACTTTATAAAAGAAATAGTCATAATGATCAACTAAGCACAAGCATTAACCTGTGTACCTTCCACTGTATAAATATCCAAAAAGGAATAAACCCACAGCTATGACAAGAAAAAAAAATGGGACAAAGGGAACCAATGAAGAGAGATATCTACAAATTTCTGGAAGAAAAAAATCACACAGGATTGAGTAGACATAGGAAATAGAAAAAGCCACAGCCTGGAATGTACTAGAAGAGGACTTCCAAGAAAGTGGCATTCAGTCAGCCTAAAAGAACAGAGAGACTCTGGGATCAGAATCTGCTATATTGTGGAGCAGATGTAAGAAGCAGGATTCAACTCAGGTGGGATGTTCAAAGGCAAGAGTAATATGTGTTCATCCTCCTTTTTCAAGATAAAAACTATCCTCATCCAGAATACAAAAAAAAATGATAGGATGCCTTCCTCCCCAGGCAAAAGTAAGCCAATAATAATAATAATAAATTGATGGCTATTCTCTCCCTCATGGCCACAAAATGTCTGCAATAGATTCAGGCATCACATCCTCATAAAACAGAACATGGACTCCTTCTTCCTTGTGACTGTTTCTAAGAGCTAGAAATGTTTTTGCCAATTTTAAGGAATTAGCTCACATGATTGTGGGAGCTGGGAAGTCAGAAATCTACAGTGCAGGCAGCAGGCTAGAAACCTGGAGAAGAGTTGATGTTGCAGCATTGAGTCCAAAGGCAGACTAGAGAAAGAATTCCTTTTTCATCAGGGAACCTCCATCTTTTCTTTTAAGACCTTCTACTGATTAGATGAGGCCCACTCATATTATGGAGCATTATTTGCTATATTCAAAGTGTACTGATTTAAATGTTAATCACACCTAAAAAAAATACTTTCCCAGCAACATCTAGACTAGTGTTTAACCAAAATTGAGTCAGCATTGCCTGGCGAAGTTGACAGAGAATTAATCATCACAGGAGGGTTAGGTGAAATTCACAGAGGGATGGCAAAAATATAAAGTTTTATAATAAACTATATACATAATTCTATAGGAAAGAAGTGAATACACTCTCGTGAAAACCTGCTGAATTGACTATATACCATGACAGGCAATGCCCAGCAATTATAGTTACTCTTCACCTCAGCCTCTCGGTCCTGTACTGGCCCAGAATTCTATTACCTGTAACCATTTGAAATTTTACATGAGCACAATTATAGTTGTATACAAGACTGTCACACATTCTGTATTACTAATTCGCACATTTGGGATATTAAAAAATATTCTAATTTTTAACAAAAATAGTGCTTATTTTGCATTATGTGGTAAATATGTAGTACGAGCAATTTGGGCAGAATTCAATCTGATCCGATTAATTACAAAGGCAAAAAATGCAACTGAACACAAACATGCTACAAGTTAGAGAAAAGGCCTGTTTCCTTTTATAATCAGGTCTATAGTCAAATAAGGTTCCAAGGATCTCTGGAGGCAGAGCATTCATTACTCAACTTAATTAACTATTTAGAGGTCTATTTCCCTGCTTGCCCACTCTGTAAGTTTCCATACTTCAGAGTCTGACCTTAAGTGACATCACAATGTGGCTGCATCACCCCAGTTCTTTCGCTGGGTGGCTGAGCAAGTTAACCTCTTGGTTTCTATTTCCTTATGTTTAAATTAGAGGTTGAACTGGCAACTCTAGAATTCTGAGTCTGCTAATCGAAGTATCCGTACAGTCCCCTAGCATATTTTAAATGTTCAATCATAACAACAGCACACTCATATTTAAACATTTTATGTATGAAATGACTCATTTAATCATCATGAAAACCATATTAAGTAGAAACTTGTATTTGTTCTTATCCCATGTCCTCAGAACCTTGCATCACTCATCAAGAGATGGAATCTATGTCCCTTTCCCTTGCAGTTGTGTGAGCATTTGTGACTGCCTCATTAATAGAATATGGTAGAGGGGGCGTGACATGACTTCCAAGGTTAGGCATACAGATTCCACTGGCGTTTTCTCCCTTAGGACAGTCATCTCAGAACCCAGCCACCATACTGTAAGGAGACTCAAGCCACAAGGAGAGGCTACAGATGGGTGTTCCAACTTACAGCACCCAGTGGAGATCTTAGCTAACAGCTAGAATCAACCATCAGTTATGAAAGTGAATGGGCCTTCAGATGATTTCAGCCCCCAGCATACAAGTAATTCCCGCTGATGCCAAGTGAAACAGAGACCAGCTAACCTTGCCAAGCAGCCCCACCTCAAATTGAAGAATCATGACAAAATACAAGCCACTAAGTTTTGTGGTGGTTTGTTCTGTAGTAATAGATAATCAGAACAAGGTTAGTAGTGTTTTATCCTCATTTTATCCATGGGGAAACTGAGGCAAAGCGAGACTATGTAAATTGCCCAAGGTCACACAGCGTGGAAGCAGAATTGGAACCCAGCAGTCTAACTCCAGGGAGTGAGCCCTTGGACACTATGCTATACTCCATTTAATAAGCAATTGATAGAATTATTAGTCCTTGATTCACAGCCCTGCTTATTCCTTGTGATATTTCATAGCGCATCTCACCTAACTAAATTATTTAATATGTGTATATTTTATATAATTGGCATATCATTATATGTATTTTCCCCCAAGAAATCATGCTACCACCCAGCCGGCGTGGCTCAGTGGTTGAGCATCGACCTATGAACCAGGAGGTTGTAGTTCGATTCCCCATCAGGGCATATACCCGGGTTGCGGGCTTGATCCCCAGTGTGGGGTGTGCAGAAGGCTGCCTATCGATGATTCTCTCTCATCACTGATGTTTCTGTCTCTCTCCCTCTCCCTTCCTCTCTGAAATCAATAAAAAATATTTTTTTAAAGAAATCATGCTACCAAAGGCTAAAATGATTGATAACATTTTAGGGAAAACAAAACCTTACATCAGAAAAGAGTTTCTCTTAGCCTCTTCTATTTATTCTTCCCAAGAATATAAGAAATTGAAATTTTACTGCTGGGAGAAGCAATTTCTAGGGAGGCTGACTCAATTCATTTATACCGTATCTATAAAACTCCCTCTGAGGGACATATTAAGACTACAAAGATCAATGTCCTGCCAATGGAAAAAGAGTTATGATGGGAGAAAATGAGGGTGGCATCTAAATTACACACTTTCTGCTTTACAGTTTACAGCATAATTAGCTATTTTAAAGCAAGATAAGTGATTTGGCAAAAAGTCTTATTTAAACATTGAGTTATAATGCAAGAGAAATGTTTCCATTCACAAC